TATTTATGTTAATCGCTTAGGATAATTTCGCTTAAATTTTCTGACATGATAAATTGTTCAGTTTTGTTAATCTTTACACCAACGATTTGATGCTTTTGACTTTTTTGGGGAACTTCTCTTTTTGGATTTAAAAGTATGTCACCCCACCCACATGCTCTGTTTTCTTCGTCACATTTCTCTCATCCTTAGATACAATTTTAAAATTTACTTTTTATTGTTGGTTTTAGTGCACTGCTTCCTATATAAAATGTTAGAAAATAGTGATTTTTAGTCTAAACTCTTATGAGTAGTGTATGTTTTCTATATTTTTGACAAATTAATGTACAAAGTTTATACAATCTACATTTTTTAGAAGGAGGTCAATATAGTGGACCAAAAATAAATTTTTTTTTTTTTGAATTAATTTTAGGATTAATTAATTGACCAACAACACAAAGCCCCACTAATTAAATGAGTGTCAACAATGAACTGGATCATCAATAGAACCTTTTACCATCACAAGGTACAACTTTCTTACTCAATTCACATGCAATTTAAGAGATGTACAAACCCTAAGATTTGTATCGTTCAGAATATGCTTAAAATGGCAATCATGAAATGAAAATTCCCAATGGGGTATGTAAGGGAAACAAATTAAAACGCTTTTATTGTATTCGAGAGTAGTGTGGATAGAAACAAAGGATAATGAGAGCAAATTTGAAGAAAAATCCCAAATACAAACAAATATACTGAATGATGATAGATTCCAAAATTATGGGGACCCGCAATTTCTGTTGACACGTCGATGATTTATGGTTAGGTGGGAAGAGTGTATTGATTTTACTTTACCTCTCTACAACATATATATAAGATAAAAAGAGTCCAACTCTATTCTCTTTAGATCCTTCTTGGCAAAGGCGATGTCATTTCAAAAGGGGGCCTTTCTTGGGCTGTCACCTTTGGGTATCTTTATTCCTTTTCATCATGCACCTTACCACTCCCATCAACTCCAAACTTCCTTTTTGTGTGTCACTTTTTGTTTGTTTTTTCATCTTAAATTTTTTCTATCATCATCATCACACTCACACAAAATTGAA